CTGTGCCATCAGGAGCTCGGACTACAGCCTGCTCTGATCCTGTCTCATTAACATAACAAAGACAACCCATTCCCCATTGGGATGGGGATCACAAGCATAGAGGTTAGGTTACAATGCATATTTTAGGGGGATTGCCCTGATGAGCAGTGGCTTTGAGCTTCCAACCTTTCTCAGTAAGTAAGTAGCTGGGCACCTGAACCTTTTGCACCACCCAGGGGCTCCTACAACTGGAAACTAAAACCCAAACTCAAGCTCCCCGCTGTCCAGTCCATGCCAACTCAGAGAGACCCTGTCGGGCCGAGGAGAACTGCCCCTGGGGAGGAGAAAAGCCTGCTGTTTCGCCCCCAAGCAGCTGGTGGTCTGGAAGTGCACCGCCTGGAGCTCTTGTCAGCGCAGGCACAGTCAGGGTAATAGCCACTTGTCATCCACACAGCCATCTAATTGTCCCTGTGGGTTTTGGAGGCTGTGAATCTTTTTTATTGGAACAGACAGCCTCGTCATTTTTCCTCAGTGCAGTTGGTGGGTTTGAACCGGCGACCTGGCAGTTAGTAGTCAATGCACAAGCCACTAAGCCACCAGGGGTCTTTCCCATTCATGACTCAATTCTGACTCCTAGCCACCCTAGAGGACAGGATAGGGCTGCCCCTTGGGTCTCCGGGGCTGTAAATCCTGACAAGGGCAGGAAGCCTCGTCTTTCTCCCACGAACAGCTGCTAGGTTCAAACTCCTGGCCTTGTGGTTAGCAACCCAACGTGCGACCCGCACAGGGAGCCTGTAACCTTCTGTAAGGTTGTGGATGCCTTTCTCTGGCAAAGGCCTGAGACTGGTATGACCCTTGTCTCATAGCTTGAAAGACTACGAAATAGAATCATCCAGGCCACCTTCAGCTATTCAGGGGTCAAGTCCTTGGTCACCGAGATCTCTGACAATGACATCCTAGAGGCTCTGCAAGTATGTCCGGGTCCTCAGCCGGGGGCCTTGTCCCTGGGCTACACCTCCAGGATCTTCAGCCATGGGGGCGGGGGGCGGGTGTGCCTGGGTTGGAATCTGACAACTCCATTCTTGTCCTCTGAGCATCTCCTTTGCCGACTGACCAGGAGCTTCTCTCTGTGGTGGACAGATATGCGCCGCGAATGTCTCTCTGCTCTGTCAGTGGGGACCAGACTGCCCCCAGAGTCTCTCTTAGCCCTGACTGTCCAGCTCTAGCTGCCTTCCAGGCAGGATGCTTGGGGGTGGTGGCCACTGAGCTGCCCCCTCCAGGCAGGCTGTGTGTCTCTTCCATAGAAGGTCATCACAGAGAGAAATGACTTCTATAACCAGCTGAAGCAGAAAGGTGTGAAAATCCCAACCTTGAGCCAAATGGAAGGCCCCTACTCCTCGTCCAGCAAGTCCAAGAGGATGGCCCTCAAGTAGGTCACGGCCAGGATGCCCCGTAGGGTCAGCCCAGCGGAGACCAGGACCTGGTTCAAGAGGCCGCCTTGAGGGTCTGCCTGACCGCTGCCTCTGGTTTAGAATTAAACTATTGTTGGCAGTGGTCTCCATCTCTTTTTTTCTCCCCAGTGCCCCCACCCAGGGTTATGGGCCTGATTGACGTGGAACCACTGCCTACCACTTCCCCCCACTCCCCACCCCCATTTCAAAGTGCACTTGCTGGTTCCTCCCTGGGAGGTCCCTCCCTGAGCCCTTACTGCCATGCCAGGCTTGGGCCACAAGGTGTGCACAAGGTGCTGGGTATCAGGAAGTCTAGGACTGGGCAGCCACTCCCTCCGTTCAGCTGGCACCCCA